TTTAGAAAAGCACTCACCAAAGAAAAGTGTGTCTAAAACAAGCCCCAGCGGTCCTGTTAGGACAATGCAACCAAAAGGAAGGGATTAACCTTTAGATCACAGCCACAAAAAGAAGCTGGATGTGGGCACCATCAGAACACACCCTCAACACTGGGGAAAAAAATGGCCCAAAGGAGGTTCCTTCTGTGAAGCTGGAACCTCGGTGTTATTTGCAAGAAACAAAATTATTTTGTACCCAAGAACTTCATTCCTGCTTGAAACAGACTTTCCATCATGATATCAAGCATGCTTCACATGCAATTGCTGCCAAAGAATGGAGGCTGGAACAGCAGGACGATAGAAATGACTTCCTCAGAAGAACTGCATTCTTTCTAGCTAGTGGTTCTTTTTCGTGCATACGGTTTTTAGAAAGTTAAGATGACATTCATGTACCATGAAGTTTATCATCTCACTCTAGGTATGGTGGAAAGCACAGTGGTCCCAGCTACTTGGGAGGCTGAGGCAGGAGGATCACTCACTTGGGCCCCGGAGCTCAAGGACAGCCTGGGCAACACAGCACCACCCCATGTCAAACAAACAAACACACATTTTAAGTGTACTAGTGGTTTTTCAATATGTAATTCCAGACATCTGAATCACCCCCAAACCCCATCACCTGTATTCAGTAAGCAGTCACTCCCCATTTCCCTCTCCTAGCAGCCTGTAGAAACCACAGGTCTTTTCTGTCTCTATGGGTTCACCTGTTCTGGACATTTCATATGAATGGAATGATGCCTTCTGTGTCCGGCTTCTTTCAGTTTAGCTAGAGTTCTTGAGCCCTTCCCAAAGGGCTGTAATTCCAAGGACTCCAAACAAAGGTGCTCAGGTGGTTGATCTGCTGCATTCTAGTATCATGCAGTTTCCAGGTATGATGGCTGTCTAGTTCTATCCCTGTCTTTGATCATATGAAAACAGACTGTAATTAGAAGTACAGACTCTCTGGAATCTGCCTTTGGAGTACAAAAACGATCCACTGGACAAAGTTTTTGAAGTGGGAAAGAATATCAAAGAGGAAGAATAAAATTCTTGATTTGACTATGTGTTTTCATAGTGATGTGTATCTAGGTTGTACTTTCTCTTGGTAACTGTGATGTTATTCTGGAAGACTGTGGACACTGATGGAAAGCCAAAAGTATGCTGATTCTTCACTAGATCTCACATTAGCACTCACATAAAGACCTGGTTTCCCATAACTTAGTTCCTAGAGTTTTAACTCAAATTGTACAATAACTGTGCTTCAAAGAGAGTTTGTCATGTGTTTCTCTTGTCTGTATGATGCTGTGACTCACAGATATGGATTAGCATGTTTTAGCTTTCAAAAGGTTGGACAAGGGGCTGGGGATGTGGCTCAAGCAGTAGCGTGCTTGCCTGGCATGCACACAGCCCTGGGTTCGATCCTCAGCACCATGTACAAATAAAGATGTTGTGTCCGCCAAAAACTAAAAAAATAAATATTAAAAAATCTCTCTCTTTGAAAAAAAAAAGAAAAAAAAAGGTCGGACAAGGATAGATGTATTGTGGGTAATCTGTGAACTGGGTGAATCTATCACATTTTTAAAAAGAATAAAAGTGCTGATACGAAGTTAGAAGACAGAATCATGTAGAAGGTCTCTGTCCTTCTCACAACCCCCAGGAAAAGTCTGTGTTTAGTTACTACAGGTACAACTCAGAAATTATTGGCCATAAGTTCCAAGGAGACAGAGATCTGACCTTACCTTATTGCCTGTTTCTAGAACAAAATCTGGCATGAAACAGGTGTGCAAAACTGTTCAATGAAGGAACAAAAGTATGGCATGGGAGAGGGGCTTGGGGGCCTCTGATATGACTTGTGACAACCAGGCTATCTCTACCAGAAGCCACCCCGGGGAAATGAAAATGATGACCGAAAGAGATTGCTTTGTGCTTTAGTACAATTAGAATAGCCCGTGACTGGGCCAGCCCTCCCCCTGGAAACAACTGAAAGCAAAATCAAACAGAAAACATCTTTCACAGGCACCAGGGAGCAAACCAATGCAGGCAGCAATCCTGGGAAACTCCCCGAGGGCAGCCCAGCCCAGACTTCTACTCTCTGAAGGCACTGCCAGCTCCCAGCACGAGGAGGACACCTGGCAGACAGCAGCAACCCTGCTTGGCAAAGAGAGAAAAGCTGGAGCGTGGCTGTGAAAGTAGCTAGGATGTGACAGGCCAAGTCCCACAGAGGAAAAGACCTCAGGGAAGTCAACTTCAAAGCCCTGCTCCGATATCCAATCCGAAACCCATGTGCCCAAGGTGGGACCCGGAGAAACCCAGCAAAAACAGCAGCTGGGAGGCTGAAGAGCTGGGCAGAGGGGTTAGCAGCTCTTGGCACTCAGGAGACCAAGGGGAGAATTCAGGCCACTAAGGTGAAGTGGCTCTAATAAAATAATGCAGATCTTCAGTTGGGAACCCAAAGAGGCCACATGCTAGGAGCAAGGAAACTAAAATATGCAAAAGCCCCGATAAAGTCAGAGTCTTCAAGAGAATGTGGTGATCGGCCTGAATTTTGTCTGCCTGATGGAAAAAACAACCTTCCAGGGAAGATACCACCATGCACAGCCTCTGCCATCTTCAATGCAAGACACGTGGTGGGCAGCCAGACTTGGCCAGCATGCTGAGGAATCAGGGAGAGACTAAAACCAAGAGAAACTGGAGGGAACAGAAA